CATTATATATATATATATATACATAGATCTCAGCGATAAATATTTATCAATAATACATTTTTTGCGCATGTATAAATGTACAGACATCTATGCTATCTCAAATCTAATCATTATTCTTAAAGTAATTATTGTATTTACAATGATTACATTTAGATATAACGATGTGCATATTTTTATACACATGCAGTAAATTATAAAATATATTTTATTTATTTTTTTTTACTATAGTAACACTGCTATATATTTTTAATATAAACGACATAAGATAATAATATATTTTCTTATTATTCTTTACACAAACTTTTGTTCATTCCAAATGTATACTACTCTCTTGAATTCCATATCTTTCAACTTTATTTTTATAATTTCTTTACATATGAGACAGCCGCTACGTGTGGCGATACAGGTGAAAAGATTGGTTTTCCATCCTCATCCACGTAGTCCTTATAATTAATTTTATATATCTGCTCGTAACCAAGTCGTTCGCACATCTTAGCGGAAAAAACGGACGTACAGTCTGCCCTGAGGTAATGATATCCTTGTTCCTTTGCCATTTCCCTGCAATTTATAAGTAAATCAAGAAGATATCGTTCGCTCTCTTAAACGCATCTCTAACTTTGATCGATCTTTGAACATATCGCAAAATAATATTTACGCTGTTTTTCCCATCAGAATCGTCCCGACACCTCTTCCTCTCCAATTTGTGTCCACCGAAATTATTCTGACCTCCAGAATGTTTAAATCTCGAAATCGTCCACCCATGTTTACACTTTTATCCAGGTGATGCAGTAATCTCAATATTTTCTTAAATTTCGCGTTTTTACACGAACGTATATATTCTGGTTCTTCATTTGATAGAGGATTATCCATTTTGCCTGTAAAAGGTAAATCCATATCAATCTACAACTACATGAATAATTCATAGATATTAAAATGTGTTTAATAATTAACGTTTATAGCATGCACATATCCTTAAAAAAATTAACATTGTTGATGCACATCATGCATACAAATTTTCTGGGATAAACTTCAAGGGACTCTCATAAAAAAATTAACTTTTGTTAAGGAAATTGTATTCTCTGACACAATTAAGGAGCTATTTATTCAATTGCGACGTTCAGATGTGACGTCTGACAATAGTTCACGTTTTTTTATTTTGTTTTTGTAAAAAGGTATCTTACAGTCAATCCGAATGAGGACATATATAGCTCCTTAAAAATACATTAGAGGAGACTACAGGTTCCTTAATGAAAATTTTTTTATTGATCTCTATTATGCTTTAAAATTTCTCCTAAAGGTGCTGAAATATTTTGTAGTTATTAAATTAAGTCGATAAAATAAGACATATACGCATATAATTGCTTTATTATTGATCATTTGCAATAATTTTTAACATTCCGAACAAGTTTTTCTCGATTTATCTTACATTTCAATATTTATTGGGTAAAATCGAAAAGTTATTTTAAATATATTCTTGTGTATATAATATTACATATAATTTGTATAAGCATGTCTTATCATGCATTTTGCATGTTATCTTGACAGCTGTCAATTATAAAGTGGATAATAAACCACAAATTAATTAAAATATAATACGGAAATAATGTATAAATGTATAATATGTAACGAATGTTTAAAAATTCTTTAATATTTTAAACATAATTTAATAATTATTATGTTTAAATAATTTAATTTGTTTCATCATTTAACAATAATTTAGATATCTTTTAAAAATATTTTTGTCATAAAAAAACTAATTCTAAATTACTTATTAATTATAAATTATTTAAACCAATTCTAAATTACTTAAACATTTATGTGCAATAGCAGTCGTGTTATCTAATAAAACTTACACTTATCTGAATATAAAATCTTACTGAAATCTCACTGTCTGAATATGAAACGTGTTATAGCTGTATTTCCAGTTTTTAATGAAGGAATTATATTTCTCGACTCTTGTGTTACGTGATCTTTTTTATAAACTTTGCAAATTAATAATTCTGCATAATAAACGATAAAGCGAATGATATCTAAATAAATTCAGTTAATGTTTCTATATGTTTTCTGATAAATTATAAATCTATTATTGCTGCATCAATAATATTTTTCGTTTATAAATTTAATGTTTTTAAATATTTTTATAGATATATTTTTTATTCTTTTTTCTCTTTCCTTTTTTTTATTTAAAAATATTAAATTTAAAAAAATTTAAATTTTAAAAAGCATCTCCTTTTGTGATTTTTAACTTTGCTACTTTTGCTTCTGCTGCTCTATTTAACTTAAGCTGTTATTTACATATTGTATTATTTATTCATATTGTTGATTTTAAATCGCATTTTAAATGTATGTGATTAACATCTTCGCAGTACCGTTAACGATTTGTACGTGTAGGATGTATCGTTTATGAATGCGATTTTCGAATGTCGTGTAATAGTTTGTGCATTTTAATGTAGATATTTATCAGCAAATACATGATGAATTATCTATTTTGAGTCACAACCGGTATCGGATAATAACTCACGGTATTATTCGAGATCCGTAGTATTTTACGTAACCTCACGATACCGTTATATTTCTTTAGTCTCTTCTCTCGATGTGCATTTATTTGAATACAGTTAAGATACGTTTCAAATTAACTGACAATTTTTCTATCTACTCAAGCGAGACGACACATCCATATCTCAAGAAGATAAAGATAATACATACGTGCACATTTTTTTTTCTTTTATCTTTCATATATTAACAAATATAAATAAATTTATCTAAAGAAACATTAATATATGTATATTAATAAATATAGCTTCTTTACATTTTATAAATATGAGAGATCAAATTAATAAGAATAATATTTAATAAAATATTATAGACAACAGTCGATGGACAACAAATAATAATATAATAATTTGAATCACTTTGATGTTATTGTCAAAATGGAAATAAATATTCAGTATTTTTGTCGATAAGAAATTTTTTTTACGTCACTTAAAATTCTTTTCTGAAAATATGTACTTGATGACTATTACTTAGAAGATGCGATTGATCAAAATGACATAAAACGAGAAACGAAATTGTAAACACGATGCCAATTCGAAATGTTTTTCAAAACATTGAGAAAAAAACATCGTCTTTAGAAAGAAGTGTTTAATCGAGTATTCATAAAGCTAACAAAACATTGCCACTACAGCTTTACCATTGAGCAGAACTCCAACGATTGTACCACTCGCGGAAACTGCCATTAGACTCATGTTATTTTCAAATGAGGCATTGCAACAGTATTCCTCTAGTTCCGCACAAGTACTGTCTTCACCTTCCGGAATCAATTGAATGCTCTGATTCAGCGGCTCATCTCTGAAGAAGAACCTTCTTAAGAATTTCAGCACTCTCAATTTATCATCCTTATTAATTATCTCGATATGATAATCCATACTGTTGCTGGATCCGTCAGCCAAATCGGCCAACTAAAATAAAAACGTTACAAAAATAAGAATATTAATTGTGAGACTTTACAAAAATTATTCGACACTGTAAGAAAAGATTATAACATTATAATACAATTTTATATTTAGAAATTGATATTCTTGTTTTTTAATTTATTAGTTTATTATTTAAATTTGTTTAGAAATTATTTTAAAAAATTAAAAGCGTTAATATTTATTTAATTAATATTTTACAATAAAACGAAGATGGGAGACATTTGACGAGATTAACTGACAAATTATTGAATGTTGCCATTTATGATTGATGTACATCTTATTTAGACCTGATCGTACCTTGGGGTACATACTTAATCGGAACATGAGACACGCGTCGTTCAATTCCTATACAATAGGAAATGTAAATTCAGCGTAATTTGCGCGGAACGCTGCAATGCACATACGATCCTCGAGTCGAGAATTCAGAAGAGACTTTTATACATAGAAATGATTAATGATGCGCCAGCTTATTACACTGTACGTCATGTAGATATGCGTGAGACAGTCTCATTTATTCAATACGTTCTGTCACGAGCAACCATTCCGCGGTCAACGTCGTCCAACGCTAATTTGTCATTGATCTATTTTCAAGCAGTGATTTGTAAGAGTTGATAAGACTGTCTACGCATGCAGATGCAATGTACGCTTTCAGTAAAGTTGACGTTATTTGTCGTTATTTTGACGTCGAAATGTTAAACACGTCATTTTGTCATCAAAATGACGACAAATAATGTCAGCTTGTTGAGTCTGATACGGTTTAGAAATACATAGATATGTATATAAAATAACGTAAAATTAAAAATCCTCTGAAAATGTTTAGAAAAATGTTTTTAATTTGATTTAATTTTTTTTCAATTTTGATTCAATTTTTTCTGATATTACACAAATGTCTTCTGAGACGTTTTACTCTGCTGCTATGTGATATCATGACGTGTTATTTAGAACGTAAGGAAACCTTGCAGAATGCAAAACTCCTTTGCCTTGAATGTTACACCGTTATTGTTCATCGTCGTATAATTTAAAATGTCCTTCTAATAAGTCATTTAATCATTTGCTAAATTATAATTTAAAATAATCGCTTAATTGCTTAATGCGCTGATAATATGTGTCGCATTTAAAGGAGCCACTCTCTGAATATTACGCGTCATTACATTTACAAAAGGATATAATTGTGTAAGACGCATTGTCATCGTTCGAGTTACGTCATGTCAAAGGGAGCGTGTCAATACTTACATTAAAAGTTCTTACGGTTTTTTTCAGCGTAATTAATAATCTGCATAATAATTTCTGACACCCTACAATTACCGTGAGAAAATGATTAGATCATCTCGCACGAAAGCACTGCATTTACGCGTACATCATCACCAAAGAATGAAACTCATTCTATCCTTTAGAAAAGTATAATTTATTTAGGAAGAATATCATACTCGAGCAAAAATTGAAAACGGTATAATTTTTCACAGATACATGCACGACTCTCTTTTGACCTTTGGGAGTCACTAATAATCTTTTGACCTAAGACATAACCGTATCTCTCGATATGAACATTTCGAAAGTATATGCAAAAAAAATCTTCATATTTTTTTCGTAAAATAATATAGCAATATTTTAAAGAAAACACGCGAATGCATAATATATATGACGAAAATAATAAAAAAGAACTAATAAATAAAGACTGATACATTCTTATAAATAAAATAATATTCACGGTATAAAATATTTATGTGAATCATTTTTTGAAATATTTTAATAAAATATTTTAGAAATATTTTATAGATATTTTAAAAAATTGCAAACATTAAAATAAGAATCTTAAATATTTCATGAAAATATTTTAGAAATATTGCACAAATATTGTAAAAAAAAATATTTCAAAAACTTTGATTTCCTGAACTATTTATATTTTAGAAAGATTTTATAAAAAAATCTCTTTTATGAAATATTTCATGCTGCATGGGACTGTTTATCTATTCAATTGGGCTCAAGAGATGTTTTATCTTTAGTCACAAACAAGTAGTGCTTCAATAATTATATCTCTTCCGAAATAAAGTGGTCGACGTATTATCCCAAAAACATCAAATACTAATTTAGTCTTTAAAATGTCAGAATATGCGCGAATTATCATTTTCTTATCTCAACTTATTTAACTTCTTACCGAATATCTCGTAATCTTTGGTGCATCTTTTATAAAATTGGTGGTGGTCTTGTCGTTATCGATGCGAATCGCATTAACCCGATTTGATGCACGTACGTTCTCCATGATGAACAATAAGATCCGCGAGCTTTACTACACTTTAGGCAAATGTACAAATTGTAACTGTGGAAGCAAGTTCTCCAAGCTCTAACAACGTGATGCTCGATTGTTGTCGACGAGGTGGTAATCTAACACTGCGCATTGTAATAGAACGCCGACAGTCTTATATACGCTCCATAACAGCAACAGGCGTTCTTGCAGGTTCAGGGACAACTAGATATAGTTTAGGGTACTTAGGATCTGTAATGCCCCCGTTTTTAATATCATAGGATATTATCTATATAAACCAACCTTGAATCGATCCGCAATGATCATATAATTATACCATATAATTGTATAATTTTACAACGATTTATTACGATAAACTGGATTTTATTTTTTACTATTTTTTAAGTTTTCCAATAAAATGAGTTACATTATCAGAGAAGACCTGTGCTGAAGAAAATAGTTAGCTAAAATAGAAAATAGTAAATACATATTTTTAGTGTAGAGGAAACATTAAAATAAGATTCATTAGAAATATAAATATATATTTATTTAAAGGATGCGTTTATAGAAGTATTATTTGAAATAAATATTTTGTAGTAAATATAAGGAAGGCAAATAATATTTACTATATACATTTAATTGAAATAAGATAATACTTATTTGACATTTTGATATTTCATGGTTAAATAAAATAATTCTATTTTATATTTTCAATTTACTATTTTCTATTTCTTAACAGTACAAAATTAAAAAATAATAATAAATAAAATAAAAAACAGCATGTGTTTCATAGATACATAGAGTAGGACATCCCAGACTTCGCGTGACATCCGTCACCGAAATTATATAAATTCATAAGAAATATTATTAGGAAAAATCGTCTTGACCGAATATGGCGAATATAATATTTTTATTCATGTATGTTTAATCCAAGTGGTCTATTTTCACTTGAGAATGCTCATAAAGTTTTATCAGAACTTTATGGCTTTATGGCTTTATAGCTTAGAATTAACAACAATTTCATATTATCACGAATCTAGTTCGTGATATACGCATACAGAATTCTGACGATTTGCTATTCAAAGTTTACGAAGTGTGCAACGTGTAACTGCGCATGTTGCATACGAAAATAAAAAATAATTTCTACTTAACATCGTCGTCAATTGTCAATTGTAAGTATTGTCATTAGTGCAAATTGCAAGAGATAATATGCGTCCTTGTAGTTTAACACTCGACCATACTTGTTAATTCATGTAAGACATTAACTGACATTAACTAACATCGAAAAGCGATTGAATTAATTGATATTTGTATGAGACTTAATCGATGTTCACAACTCATCAATTTTTGCTGGTAAATAGTAGATTCTTAATGCGATAGAAAATTAATATCGCTTCATTGCGCTATTTAAAACTTTAAATTATAATAATCGAATGCGATTATTACTACCACAATTTGCTTATTGTAATTTATATTGTATATCGAGGTTAAAATTTCTCATATAGTCAGTTTTCTCAAAGTTTTATCTTTATGATTGATGACCAGATTTCTAATTAGAATTGCATTTGGAGATTGAGAAGGCCAATCCATTGATTAATACACTAAGAAATGCAGTGTTTAAAATGTTTACGTTTAAGATGTTACGTTTAGAACATCTTTGTAAAATATACATTTAATAATGAAAAAACCGTATTAATATTTCAATTTTACACGTTTTAATGTTTTAAATCCAAATACATAGTGTTTTGTTTATTGAAAACCTTTAAAACTGAAACATCTTTAAGTATTTAAAAAAATGAAAACAAGAATAAACATTTTAATGTCTTAAAATTAAACACTTTTTTTGTGAGTATGTCATTTTTAGTTTGCAAAAAAATTTCGAAAAAGCACGTCTGATAAAAAGCAGAATAATATACGTAATAATAAACTATAATAATGGTGATTGAATGCCATAATAATTGTAAGTAAATGCATGTTATAATTAATGAATGTAATGTACTTTCAAAATATAACTTTAATTTTTAATATATTCGGTTTCTTTTAGAGAATTGTTGATGACGTTCTTGTGCCACTGACTGTATATCCCTTATCTGCATGTACATTTTTACAGTGTTGCTGTTGATGTCGATTGTTTACGTCCTTACACGAGCAATTGTGCTACTATAGAGAATGGAACATGCCAAAGACAACGACTTTCCAATCGATCTATCTACTTGAAGATAATCATAACCGTACATCTGAAATCGAACATGGTATTTTGAAGATCACAGTTAGAATCACGTAGTTTAAGATTATTCTAAATATATGTATGACTTTCTCTTCTTATCTATTCTCATCTTAACCCAAACAGTATATGTAAAATCAGAGTAATGTAAAAATATACAGTAATGTCTACAATTGTTCGCGTTATACTTATCATAAAAGGAGGCGAATAACGCGATCGTTTTCTAGTCCACGAAATCAATTTTTCTGTAATAAAAGAATCGATAAAAAAATCGTTTATTAACTTCTATGATTTTTGATCGACTAAATACACTGTTCGTTTTCGTTGCAAATAATCTATTAACAAGCTAATACTACTTAGCGACTGAATAATTTAAATAGCATGGAGGTATAGCAGGAATTACGAAGCATCTTCATGGCCGTATATGTTCCTCTACTGTGTGTCCTTTGATCGTGACACTCGATAAGCTAAGACTATAGACAATCGATAAACGATCGACACAATGAAACCTAACAGCTTCAATAAAGTATATTTTCTCATGCATTCCTCACAGCCTTTCAAATTGGAAGAGATAGCGAATCCTGAATGAATATGTTATAGCTAGTTTCCACGTTCGATTGGAAAAGGGAGCAAAACAGGCGATAGTGAGGTTTTGTGAAGAGTTGCTCAACAGGAGCCTTTAGAGGATTTATATCAAAAAGATAAAAAAGCTGTCCTTGAAACACAGGGTGAATTGTGTGATTCAATTGCCTTGAATGTCTGTTGTTAGAACCGATTCAAATTTTTGTGGTCTCGAACAGTTTTATGCGAACAGAATAATAAATCATTGCATATTTATTACTGATGCGAATGTCATTTATTTTTTAATATCGTACTTACAATTACTTGGCACGAAACTCAATCACTGTGTGCTAATGTCTATATATCTGTCCGTACAAATATCCTAATATATTTTATTCTATTATCTGTTAAATATTATTTATTAAAATATTATACTCGTGATAGATTAATAAAATTAAGAAAAAAAGTAGATGAATAACGTAACAAATTTT